ACGATTAATTTACAAAATGCACGAGATGAGCCAATAAAAATAGAAAAGTAGAAAAAGATTGATTTGTACRTGTAAAAAATGAAGTGTTCCGATTGCCTTGAAAATTAGCATGAGTTGTCACATTTTCCGTTTATAGCGTGGCTAGAGTGTTGTAACTGTATAACRGTGTGACCAGAGTGTGGGCAATGTAGTGGCAATTTTATAATAGTGTGACTAGAGTTTGACTAAAGTGTGGGCAATGCATTGGCAATCCGTAACACTTACAGATAAGTGTTTAAAGAATTTAGTTTTTACAGGACGAGGATGAAGAGTTGCAAACATATAAAGAATATTTTGTTTACGTCAATAGTTTKTTCTTTATTAAACCAAAAAATATAAATTAAAACAGAGGACCCTGAAAACTCTTTTTTTGTGTTCAATATAAATAGCAACGAATATGCTTATGAGTAAAAACGGAAACACACGCAGGGAAAAATATGAATATTACTTAAGAATTTTAAAATTATAGATACAAATTTTCACATTTTATATTATTAATTTTGACTTTTTTATATTATTAGTCTTATAATAAATTTTTTATAAAATTAGTAGTTTTCAAAGTTATCTCTCTCTATTAGCAGTTCAAACCTGCGAACGGTCATAGATGCCCCGAAAATCGGATGATAATATAACGGATTATTAGACCAGTTTGAACGAATTTTAGGTGTCTTTATTTCAGACTGCAGCATATAAAGGCCAAAGAATATCTCCATTTCCTGCAAGTTTGTTTCTTTGAAACTGATAATTCGATAGGTGGAGCACNAATTATAGATACAAATTTTCACATTTTATATTATTAATTTTGACTTTTTTATATTATTAGTCTTATAATAAAATTTTTATAAAATGAGTAGTTTTCAAAGTTGTTATTTGATAACAATTAAAGTAATAAAAAAAAAGGTAGATTATGATCTTTGTTTATTTTGTTCTTTTTTCCCACTGTTGACGCCGCCTCCGCCCAATTTCTGTCGCCACGTGTGTATCGGCAGAGCAATCTCTTCCTCCCAGGTTTTTTGAAGTTTTAATTCGAACGGAACTAAACTTTAATAAAGTAAAAAGTTGCGAGCTCTCTCCTTTTACGACCGCTTAGCGATACAGACGTGGTAAGTGCTTGTCCAATTTGTTATTTTTAAATTACACATATTATATTGAAACTTTTTGGTTTTCGTTCGTTCCCCGCGTCAACACCCACCTTACCTCGGCACTCGGCACTGAAAATTTCACCGGCAAAATATTTAATAAAAAAGACACAGTCGGTTGGGAATTTTCGTTTTATTCACAGTGAAATATACGGAGAATGCAGAATGTAAGAAAGAAAAAAAAAATGTGATGCGGCGATGAACGTTTGCTCGGTGCTAGATCGGCGTAAGAAAGGAAACTCGTCTTCTGGAACGGTAGGTTTTGATTGTTGGGTAGTGTAGAGTTATGGTGTGATGTCTGCATGTAAGGTGTCTTCATATTACATTATGTTGTGGTGTGTATAGAGGGGAGAGGTAACACATCTAGCCATCCCAGCCTCCTTAGGCCTCCTTAGGTGAATATTAGCCTAGCAGTCGCTGTGATTGCTGCAGTGTGACAACAACGTTGCTAAGACCAGTGGAGCGGCGAATTGATCTACTGATTGAAGCTGATGTACAAGCTCTTGCGTAACGGGCCATTTTAGAGTGCGGTGCAGCATAGTGTGGTGCGGCTTATTGCACAGTTGGCATAGGGTAAGTGATGTGCACTCCTGTGTGGTGTGTATCGTTGCTAAGCAGGCAGTGCCCACCGTTGCATGGGCTGCATGCTGCGGAAAATTATACAATGTTGTAGCCACTGTGGCCGCCGACGTAGTGGACATCGGCTGCGGTAAGGTTCCGTTACGGGTGCTGAGGACGGTGGAGGTGGTCGCGTACCACTACGAGGAGCGGTTGCAGTGGTTCGTGGCGCTGAAGTTGCCCCAGTGTGCGGCACGGTTATAGATGACTTCACCGTTGGCGTTGGCACTGCTGGCATATCCACATCGGCAAAATCGGAAAGAGGGAGTCCTCCTAATTAAAAAATATATAGGATTATAGGTACCGCAAACGCTTAGTGTAGGAGATATTCGGCCTTAAGGTTCAAAAATTCGCAAAATTCATACATTTCAAGACGCTATTTCACCACATTAAATACACTTTATTCACATTTTTCACTTCAAATTACTTAAATTACACTTTAAACTTGTAAATAACTCCATATCTTACACTTTTACCAGGTTTTTTTTTAACTAAAAAATCTGCATTTTATAACATACATTTTACACTCGTTTGAACCCCATTTGTTTACCAAAAATTACAACGAAATGGAGCGCTGCCATGTGATGATAAGGCAATTCGCTGAAATTCCTCTTTTTCGCAAAAATTCCTCTATTCACGCATATGGATGTTTTCTTTTTTAAATTTATTAAGCAAATAAGTAATATTATATACATGTATTAATAATATTATATAATAATATTACGTAGTAAAGTGTCGGGTATATTAGTACAGTACGAAAATTAAATTTTTATTTCAATATGAGTGCATGGTAATCAACAAATATAACCATTTTATAACAAAAACTCAATCTATTTTCTTATTTTTAACGCAGAAAGGAGTACTACGTGAAAGTACTTCAGTCCCCCCGGGTATTCGCTCGGCCAGGGTTAGTTTTTTAAAGTACTTCAAAGAGTTTTAATTATATGTGTTTATTAAATATAAATCACATATTATATATATGTATACATACTATATGTATAATATGTGGAAAAAGTTTTCACAACTCAATAATAACTTAAAAAATGTTAGAAAGTTTTTTTTATTATAATTAATGTAGAAAAAAGAATCACGCAAAAAAACAAACAAAGAAAAATCGTTACGAATCCTACATGTTTGGTGTTTAAGATGTGACAACGCTCGTTTTCCTGATAATTGTAAACAATCTAATCTTTGCAACGACGAATGTGCTAAGTGATTTTTAAATTAATAAATTTAGGTAAAATAACACTAAATAAAATTGAAATGTGAACTTATTTCAATGCTTAGAGTGTATATTTAAATATACAGAGTGAAAAACGTCCATAAATTTAATGGAAGATAGAGAAATATCTTGTGTTATTAGTGCATATTTTTGAGCTTTTAGTCGTGAAAATTTTAAAAAATATAAGTAATTTTTATATTAATTTTGGATATTCCTCCTCTGGAGAAGCTCCCCTATCCGCACATACCCCATTTATACGGAAATTCGGTTTTTTTACCCCTCCGCCAAAGTAATCGGAATCGTGCCTCCACATCCATTGAATCTATGTGGAAGGAGTGGTTTGGTTATAAATGTGTTTCATTAAAATTTATATGGCCTTGTGCCACGTTATGTGGCATGAATTGGTCGTCACTTAGATCGACCATTGCGTTAGGTTTCGAATTAATCTCAACGAGTTTTTTACTTGCGGGTTTATTACATCGAATTTTTGACTATTTTATTTGCGTTACGGTAGTATCGGCTGTTTTTTCGAGTGGTCTTGTTTATATACTGCTTTGAGTGCGGGAATGGTAGTTTTCTATGCGGCCGTGCCGCCATTCGGTTCGGGGTCAAAAGTCATCAAGGAGGATGACGTAATTTCCAAGCCTTTTCTGGAGTCTTCCACCTTTTATGAAGGTCCTTTATATATTCTTCTATCCATCGGCGGCTAAAATCGTGATGGAGAGTTTTGATTCTCTCCCATTGATTTAATAAGAATAGCGACCCCACTGGCTCAGAATGGATGCTCGTTTGAGAAAATGCTCTGGTGTCAGGGCTGTGAAGTCAGAGGGATCTGCGAGAGGGTTGTGAGTGGCCGTGAATTGAGGACGGCTTCAATTCGCACTAACAGTGCGGTGAATTGTTAATAATTAAATTTGTAGTTTTCAGCTACTTTTTTGAAGTGGGATTTAAAGCTTTTTACTGCTGATTCCCAAAACCACCCATATGAGGAGCGAGCGAAATTGCAGCGTTCCGGTGGAAGTGCTGCCATAATCTGCGTTCGCAGATCTTGCACATGAAAATGCATTTCYCTATTTGGGGCTTAAGAAGATAAATATAGAACTATTGACGGTCTATATGCTGCATTAGGCGATGTTCAGCGTGAAGCATGAGTAAGTTGATGTAATTGAGGAGTAATGTGGCAAGTTGGGATTTCTCTGCTATAATTAKAGGGTGGCGTTCGTTGTACGTGAGGCTGGAGTTAGCAAGCCTTCCATTCGCACGAAGCAGACCTTTCGTGTCCAAGAATGGGTTAAGAAAAAAGATTGAACTCCTTTTATCAATGGGTTTTGATTCTCTAAATAAAGAGATGTCGCGGCTGAATTAGGGCATTAGGGTTGATGCGATAAGTGCGATTTTTGCTTTTTGCAGGTCTTGGTGCGTCAAAGTATCGCATTGTGGATTGGTTATCCCTTTAACTTTATGCTTGAGTCGCTTTATGAATCTGAGCATRTAGGCGACTACTCTGAGCGCTCAGAGGAACGATGAGAATCGTTCARGGATGTCAGTATCATCCAGGGTTGTATGATAAGTGTCGTTTTTTCGACTTTCTGGGGCGATTATGTTGCGCATGGGCGATCGTGGCCAAGAATCAGAGGTTTGCATCCTCTTGTATCTAGATCAGCAGGATTGTCAATACTGGCTACTAGTTCAAGTATTTGAGACGTTCTGTTGGAAATATATGTTTTCTACGCATATGGTGGTTTTTCCAACCAGGCTAGAACTATTTCAGAATCGGACCATAGATATAACTTATATTTTGCCATGTTCAATTGGGTCTGCACCATGAAAACTAGCTTGGCTAATAGCAAAGCCCCACAGAGTTCAAGTCGTGGTAGACCTAACGTTTATAGAGGAGCCACCTTAGCCGTTGCTACTAATAAGTGGCTTGTGGTCGCGTTACTGCTTTGTGTGCGCATATATAAAGTGGCACAGTATGCCTTCTCAAAGGCGTCACAGAAGCCGTGTAATTCAACTTTGTATTCGGGGGAATAGTTTACCCACCGTGGGATTTGTATCTGTGAGATATCGTTTAGATTGCTCGYGAACTGGGACCACTTTTCTAAACGAAGTGGTTTTACTTGTTCGTGCCAGTCGGTCCCATCTAGCCATAATTCTTGTATCAGGATGTTAGCTTGTATCATAATTGGCGAAAGCCATCCTGCGGGGTCGAAAAGTTTTGCCACAGAGGATAGAACTTGGCGTTTTGTAATGGCRGATAATATGATATCATTTGATCACATCTGTCTATGCCAGACATATTTACGTTATAATTAGCAATCTCTATTGGCTTTTTTTTTCCAGATACCATATTTATTCTGCACGTCAATTATTTTGGGATGGTTTTCCGTTGTGATACAGAGCACACCCCGCTTGTCTTTCCACTTACTTATATAGACGTTGTTCTGTCTTCTCCATATATGTTCTCCTTTTATCAATTTTTTTTTTGTATTACAACCTTTGGATTCATTTTACGATTGCTACGTAAGGTTCCAGTGGTATGGGTTTTAAAACTTAGTAATCGATTGCTCAGTCCGACACTATTATAGTAGTTGTCCATAAATAATGAATGGCCCTTCGATAAATATGGTTCCATTCGTTTCATAACCACAGAATTCACTACAGATGAGGAAGWCACCTCATGTGTTACTTTGCCTTTATATATATCTAGATTGAGAGCATAGCCATCATGTGTACAAAGCTCATAGAATTTAATTCCGTACTTATTTTTCTTTGATTTTATAAATTGCCGAAAACTTAGTCTCCCTCGATGCAACATCATAGATTCATCTAAC